ATTTTCCTCACTTTAACTTTTCCAATTCTCTCCCCCACCCCACTGCGGGGGGAGTGAACGAGCGGCTGCGTCGTGCTCAGCTGCCGGCTGGGGTAAAACCACGACATGCTGTAATAGATTTCTTGAGAATTCAGGCAATCTGGAGATTACAGTGTGGAGGGCATTCGGTAGATCTGTTTATCCTCTTGGCAGCAGTGAGTTTTAGCATTGAGATGAGTTATGCAGAATTCTTAAACACCAGTTCCCACTCAAGTACCAATTGGTCTGCTTTCCTCATCTGTCTCAAAAGCTGGCACTCTTAGTGAGAAGCTATGTTATTTTTTCCTTAATGTATCAAGCATAAGGCAAATTTGCTTTGCATTAATGTTACAGCTTCAGTAGATGTTTGGGTGGCCCTTGGAAACAGTGAGGTCCACCCCTACCAGAATTTTACAACCTCCAAAAAAGTGTTTCTGAGTCTTATTTTCTGTCCTGTGATAAGCACAACAGCACACATTAGCCCCCAGCCCAGAGCAGGCACTGATCAGCACAGAAATGATGCACTGGGAAGTGCACACTAGAGAAGATGACACTCTGCTTGTGTTGCAGCCCTCAGGGAGGGAAGTCCCCACCAGCTTGAAAGCATTAGAGCTGCCACTGACAGGACGCACACTCCGGTGTCTATGCATGTGTCTCTTGTTGATTCCTGGATGTTTGGGGCTTCCTTTAAGTTAGAGAACATTGTCAACATTAATCCTTTTGCATTTTCCCCATCTCAGAAATAGTATGGCATGGTTTGCTTTGAGTTGTCATAAATCCAACATGCCTGTCAAAAATTCCTAATCATTTATTTTTCTTTCAGAGTTTCTTTAGGTTCAGTGTATTCATCAGGCCTGTTTTGCCATTTTAAGACCAGTTTTAGTTTTTGTTGACATTGAAGTGGGTAAAAGCACTTTGTTAAAACAAAATTTTAGCAGCTGAAGATCTGCTGTAAGGAAGCTTCCATTGTACTTGTGCTGAAACCCAGTAGTTTTATGTTGTTACCTTGGTTAAAGATGAGTCGCAACATAATGAGTCACCATCCCTGGAGGTATTTAAAAGACATGTAGACACGGCGCTTGGGACATCGTTTAGTGGTAGACTTGGTAGTGTTAGGTTAACAGTTGGACTAGATGATCTTAAGGTTCTTTTCCAACCCAAATGATTCTATGATTCTGTCATAATGCAGTCCTGCTATAGAAAAAGTATTTTGTTCCAGATCACAATAGTAAGTGGGTAACGATGCTACGCATGTTTGTTTATGAAATAGTATATTTTCTTGTAAAGAAATACGGGATCAAAAATGTAGAGAGATTCTGAGGTACAAAGATTCCTCAAAATTTGCTGTTCAGATGTGACAGTCTGCTTGGGCTCTTCTTACTTCAGATGAATTTCATTGTACTTAAGGTGACTGTAAGTATGTTCCACTATTTATTCTGGAAAGCCAACCATATCCTGGGCTGCATCAAAAGAAGTGTGACCAGCAGGTCGAGGGAGGTGATCCTGCCCCTCTACTCCGCTCTTGTGAGACCCCACCTGGAGTACTGCGTCCAGCTCTGGGGGCCCCAGTACAGGAGAGACACGGAGCTGTTGGAGCGAGTCCAGAGGAGGGCCACGAAGCTGGTCAGAGGGCTGGAGCACCTCTCCTATGAGGACAGGCTGAGAGAGTTGGGATTGTTCAGCCTGGAGAAGAGAAGGCTCCGGGGAGACCTAATTGCGGCCTTCCAGTACCTAAAGGGGGCCTACAGGAAAGATGGAGAGGGAGTTTTTACAAGGGAATGTAGTGACAGAACAAGGGCTAATGGCTTTAAACTGAAGGAGGGTAGATTTGGATTAGATATTAGGAAGGAATTCTTTACTGTTAGAGTGGTGAGGCACTGGAACAGGTTGCCCAGAGAGGTTGTGGATGCCCCATCCCTGGAAGTGTTCAAGGCCAGGCTGGATGGGGCTTTGGGCAACATGGTCTAGTGGAGGGTGTCCCTGCCTGCAGCAGGGGGGTTGGAACTAGATGATCTTTAAGGTCCCTTCCAACCCAGGCCATTCTATGACTCTATGATTACATATATTATTTTGATTATAGACTTGATTTATATACACTAAATTACATCATTAGGCTTTTGACTTAGTAGTTCTGCTTGTTTTGTCTGCTGTATTTCTTGCTGTCTGAATTAATTGCTTTCTTTCAGACTAATATCTATAGGCTATAAGAAGCCATTGGAGAGGGATGACTTCTTCGAACTGAATGAAAGTGATTCACCATACAGTGTGTGTCCTAACTTTGAAAAGCAATGGAGAAAAGAAATCCAGAAGTCTAGCACAGGACTAATGGTAGCTATAATTCTGACAATAGGCAATATCCTTTTCTAAATTTAAGGAGTCTAGAAGCTGAAGAAGATTTCTAAAATCTTCTTGTTTATTGAACAGCCTCCATTTTGTAGATCACAAAGGCCACTCAGGGTTGTGATCTCTAGTGTGGTTATAAACAATTTAGAAAAATCCTAAGTGCAAACTTACCTCTTAGAAAGATATCTAGTTACATTTTAACACTTCAAGTGACACAGAATCTACCTTGACTTTTACTTTGGTGATTAATTGCCATCTGTGTCAAAACTGTCTGACTAATTTCTCTCTGAACTTGTCTGTTTCCCCATGTCTTATCTTTGCATCTGTATTTCAGGCAGGTAGAGAAGTCTATTATCAGCTTGCTTATCAGGAGACACTCTGGCTTGCAGAATGCACAAAACAGGCTTCAGTTTTCATTAATTTTAACAATATTGAGTTTTACAGATATATTGGCTTTTTTGCTTGATTTATCCTGTGTGATTTTCAGGTAAATCTTTGACAGCTTCAGTCACAGTCATTATTTTGCTGTTGTAGTTAAAGTGCAGGAGGAGCTCTGTAATGTTAGGAAGTTCACAGGAGAGAGGGCCTAACCTGTGAGTCCATAAGAGTGTAGCTTTTGTTTTTTAATGACTTACTAAGAAGATATGTCTCCTGCAGCATCTGATTGTACTGCATCTCTTCAGTATTTTTCTTATATATTTCTGTATTTGCCCTTTCTTCCACTGATGGTATACACACCAAACCCCTTTCTACCAAAGCATTCAAAAGTATTTTTCAATGAGGATAATTTTTAGTTCAGATACCATTTCTATTAGTCAAGCAATCTATAAAAAATATCCTGTCCTTCATCACTGTGATAATTGAGAAAGGCTAACTTTTTTTTTTTGGAGCCCTTGTAAGAATATTTGCAATTGTTTGAACTAAATTCCAACTGAAAAAAATAGTTACTTGACAACTGAAAATATTCTGAAAGAATAGCAGGGTTATTCAACTTTAAATATAAAGTTGCTGTAAGCCTGCTATAAATTATAATGCATTTATGTTGAAGCTTACCTCTGTTTTTCTGATACGTTTTTTTTAACCTGTGATAATTATTTGAGGATTAAATTATTTTCTGATTATATTTGTGAATGATTGAGGCAACCCTAGAGATGATATTTATCCTTTCCTGAAAGACTACTAGCCAGGCTAAATAAAACCGGACTTCATTTCTTACCCCAAAGCTCTTCTTCTAACTGTAGGAAATGTGCTTTTTCAGATCATAAATACAGTGATGGCTTTGGATGGACACTCTAATATTATATATTTCATATTTGTAAATGTGGGTGAAGTTCAAAAATATTTTTGCTCTTAATTCTGAACATATTTTTGTAATCTTACAGGCTTCTGACATCAAAAGAGTGCTATTTAAGAAAACAAATTTCCATAAACCATCTTTAATTTTGCCATTGTGGCAAACATTTAAATTTTTATTGATTAAAGTTGCATTTCTGAAAGTTGCAGCTGACATTCTGGCTTTCATGAGTCCACAAATAATGAAGTAAGTTTTTAATGTGTTTCACTTTATATTCAGAGAGTAACAGTAATAATAAAGCTAAAGGGTTACCAATATCAAAACCAAACTAAGCAAGAGCTTATATGTGTAAAGATTTTATTTGCCCCCCCAAAAAATGATTATCTGAAAATGGTCTAATGAGGGAAAGCTCAAAGGGATCAGGAATTTCTTAGGCAAAGGACTGAGACAAAACCAGTAGACGTTCAATTCCATAATATTGTATTTAAGTATTTAATATACTTAAATATAAAATGAAATGTTAAGAAAAATGGAGTACCAAGATATTTAACTTCCCTGCTTTTTTGTCAATAATTTAATTTTCCATTTCTGTTTAAAAAGCCCCACACAAATATATAATAATATCCACAGCTTCAGCATTTAATGGAAAATTGCAATGACACTGGTTTTACCGTGTTGTTGGTACCATGATGTTGATGGAAGTGTGCTTGAGAAATTGTGCTTACCGCAGAGGTGTTAAGAATGAATCAAATACCTATGTGTTTCTGAAGAAAAGAGTTAATGAACAGAATTATTGTTAACCTCTAAACTATACCCTGAATCAGTGTAATCCTGAACAAAATTGTTAACCATAAAATCTGTTTGAAGACATGACAGTTGCTGGTTATCTAAGATAACCTTTTACTAATACAAAAATAAGAATTTTCCTCTAGATTTTTTCTCTCTCTCACTTTCATGGTTGGTAGTTGCAACCTTTCTATGTAGAAAGATCTAATTAATTTTTCCCCCTTTTCCTTATGCCATTCTTTATTTGTACATCATTTTCAGTGAAGTCAGCAATAGCACATTCATGTCTAGAATATTATTTGAGAATTGTTTCTAAGCTAATAAATTGGAAAACGCAGATAAGACCTGCCTTTTTTCGACATAGTTTTTCTTTGTGTCCTTCCACCATATCTGGATCCAAAATGGACTTAATTGAGCAAGTTGCCAGTATGTCAGTTTATTGAACTTTTTTTGTTGGTTGTTGACTTAAGGCACAAAAGTTAAAAATTATTTTCCTTCATTTTCAGAGCAATGATAATGGTCAATGAAAATCATCCTAGTTCACATGGGAGTGGGTATGGCTATGCCATTGCCCTGTTTTTTGTAGTTCTCTCACAAACTCTTCTCCATCAGTTATACCAGCGTAACAACATGCTTACTGCAGTCAAAATCAAGACTGCAGTTGTTGGCCTGATATACAAAAAGGTAAGCATGTATTCTTCTACTTTTCTTTCAAAAGAAAAGCTAAAATAAAAACACAGTGTTAAAAAAAAATATGTTTACCAGCATGATCAAAACCCAGGATGTTATACACAGGCTAAAAGATTGACTTTGTTTTGATGACTATTTCTTTTATAATAATTTGGAATTTCAGCAGCATTTCTATTATAAGACTTTAATCCTGAAATTACATACTTTTGTCAACCACCTGTACAGACATAATATTGGAGATATATGTAGAAACTGAACTCTTCCTACTTTGATTATGTGTTAATTTCCCAAATTTACTGAATGAACTGGGAAAACTTTCTAGGTTGATTGTCCTGGAAAAAGTAAGGGTATACATGATCACTGTTTTTACTATATAGTAGTAATGAATATGAGAAACTGAAGTTTGCCTTCTTTGGAGATTGAAATTTCCCCTCAGATTTTAGTGAAATTGATTTTCTATTGAGTTGAATACCCAGTAGGTTTATTGTTTTTCAGATGTTTAAAAAATGGGTAACTGCTGTGGAAATCTGTCTATAACTTATCCCACCTTTAATAAGATATGCTGAGGTGGCAGCATTATCAGCCACAAGAAATGCAGGTGCTAATAATGTAAAAGTAAAAGTAGCTGTCTGACCTGCAAAACATAAAAATGTTTACTGTACTGTTAATATGTAGCATATGAGTTGAAGCTGGTTTCTCAGCACTGCACCTTTAGTTTACTTTGTTATGAACATGACACATTGGTATCTTTACTGCACTATTTAACTATTAAGCACAAGTTAAGGAAGCCAAAAAATACTCCAAATCTGAAATAAATTACTGTCTGTGTTAATTTAAAATACAGTCTCTTTTTCTCAAGAGAGTCAAACCGATCTTTTGAAATAGACTTCTCAGGTATTTTCTGAACCACTACCCAGAATTTTACTTATAAGTTGCAAATTACTAAAATAAAGGGATTCATTCTCTCAAGTCACATGTCAAGGTGTATCAATACATCAGCTCACGAACTGGGGAATAGAGGCTCCAGTTGGAGTGAGCATGTCTTCTGGCAAGTTTTCACAGCTACAGGGTAGAGATGCAGCTTCTTCCTCTCTCTGAGTAGAGTTGATGATTAGTGAATGCCAGGTCAGGTTGTGCTTTGCACGTGGAACGGATGGAGTGAGTTGCTGCAGCGCTATCTTGTTAGATGCAGGAGTTGCAGGTGACATGGTGGAAAAATGTGAGGCACTAACACAGAAAGAGGGAGTGTGTGTGCGTGTATATGTTTATTGAGGCGTCCAAGACGCCTGGGACTTGTCTATCTGCCTGCCATACTGAGG